CTAATAGTGATGCTAATGATAGCTAATTCCTAGTAGTATGTGTGTCGTTTGTACAGTGCTACTTATATGTTATGTAAAGCCTGCATACTTATGTGTTTTATTTCTGTATTGTTACAGTTTTACAAAGTAAAAGAAGAACAGTAAAGTCAAGAAAGAAAACCTTGCATCTTCCCAGTATATCTGAAGAAAGGTTAGAGAAAACAAATTAGTATGATGGTGCCAGAGTAGGGAGGGACTTCCACAGGCCGGCCGAATGCTGATTGGAGGATCGTGTTGCCAAGAGACTCTATCTGAGTTTGCGCACCAACCAAAGAGAACTAAGTCTAAACCATGGTATCTCTTCAGCTAGTATTGACCAATCATAAATGCACGGGCAACGCCCTGTGTAATAAAAATGTATGCACGCACGAGGTTCGAGGCTCTTGACGGATTTGGTGGTTACAGATTACAGCTTTGCTGCCTGTGATTCCCAAAGACGTGATGAGTCCTTGGCCAAGTGATATATATCTTTTGCTCTCTTTACAATAAATAGTTAAACTTAGAAGTTGTCTGTCTTTTCTGGAATTCTGAACCCAACATTGGTTACTGTGATTATCTACAGTACATTGTTGGTTACTGTAATTATCTACAGTACCTTGTTGGTTACTGTGATTTTATACAGTTGGGACGTTACTACTGCTATTTCTACTGTAGTCTTTGGTTGGAAACATGATATTATACTCTAAAATGGTATGCAGTAATTTACTGTGCACAAACACTGTAAATAACTGTTGATTTCACAGCCATTTTTTACAGTCTACTGTACGAGGCACTACTGGGATTTGAACCCAGGATCTCCTGTTTACAAGACAGACGCTTTGACTAACTAAGCCACAACGCCCTTTTAAATGTGTTCTCTAATGTTAAACCTCCAACCATATCAAAGAAGTGACGGACCTAAAACAATGTGGATGTTAAAGACTGAAGAGCTATGTTCATTTTGACTGTTGGTGCAAACTGTAGATTTGCCTCCAATAAAAACACATTGCTTTGGTTAAAAAATAAAATTAGATGGACAAAAGCTTTGACCAATTAAGCCACAATGCCTATGTGATCAATATCGTCTCTTATATTAAACATCCAACAATATTAAAGAGGTATCATAACTGAAATAGTGAATATGTTAAAGACTTAAATACTTTGCTGAATTTGATCTGTAAAGTTGGACAGCATTTGGTACCAATTGTAGATTATCCTTCAGTATAGACATATTGCTTTAGTTGAACATTTGAAAGACGAACGTATATGTTCATATATTAATTGGAGGTATAATGTGAAATCAATAAAAGTTGAAGGTATCATGGAAAGAATACCTGATATACTGTACCAGGCACTTCTGGGATTTGAACCCAGGATCTCCTGTTTACGAGGCAGGCGCTTTAACCGTCTAAGCGACAACGCCAATGTTCCTTTCTTTTCCCTATGTCATTCAAATACACACTGGTTGGATAGCAGTATCTTCCTGGGAAAAAAAGGAAGAAAATCAAGTTACCTTAGATGTGCTTTTACATTTTAACTTATTCAGTGTTTATAGCCGTAACAGCTTCAACAGATTGCGGAGCCATGTGTTGCACACATCTACACACTAATTAAAATAATTCCAGGTGGGTTTCAATAATATCAAACATGTCATGGCAGCTAAAACCAATATGTAGATTATAAAGTATTAAAAGCATCTCAATCTGGCTCTGCCACCGAAGAACACCGCCTCAGGTTTGTATATATCTCTCAGTGTAAACATGCCAAGACGCAAATGAAGCGTTTGAATTGTCAGATCCAAAAATATGAGCATGACAGTGACGCGATTACATTGTTTACTTGACTTGAAGCCATTTAAGGGGAAATAAACTTTGGTAAAGCTATTAGAGCGAAGGCCTGTTACATCTGTTTGCCCCTGAGATAGCAGAACTCTGATTGGTGATGCATCATGCAACAGTTGCTATTGGTAACAACATATCACCCGAAGGTAAGTAAGTCAAGTAAGTTCAGAAATGTACATCACTCTATTGTAATGCAGCCTTTGAACTAGGGAAAGATAACGCATGGATGTCATTCAAAATCTCAGCTGATATCTAGTCTCACATCATGATACTGATATAGTGTTGATAAATTGTCCAGCCCCAGGTTGCATATCATATATGTATACATATAGACATGTCATCTTCTGTTATATTTTGTCAGTCTTTTAATTTCTTCCTCCATTATCGCTGTTAAGCTCTTTGATCAACTAGCTGTTGTGTAAAGGGCAATTTAAATAAAGTTGATTTGATTCAAGGTCAATTACTTTGCGGTGCTAAATTAATATTAAATTGGAACATCTAAAATCCCCTTAGACTATTAATATCCCCAATATTAATCTGTAAAATTGGAAGATTTATCTTTATCTATCTATATCAGGGGTCGGCAACCCCTGGCACGTGTGCCAATGCACCGTAACCAGTGGCAGGCTAGGAATAAGTGGAATAAGTGTGCAAAATATTGAAATTGTATTTTCGGATCCTGAACGAGACCGCCGCCAGAGCGCATCTCCCTGTTACACGCAAACGCAGCCCCGCTCTCTTTATCTCCAGGCGACTTTCTGCCGCTTTCCTCCGTGGTGCAGTACTGATCGTTTCACCACAGAGGAAAGCACTTCTCAAATTGTAGTACCCATAAGTAGCTGTACAAACACCGCAGTTTTTGCGTGGCTGTGTCTTTAGTTGAAAGCCCAGTGGCGATCTGCTCATCTCTCATTGAAATAATATGCTACAAAGGGGAGGACTGGCCATCTGTGTGTTGAATTTTCCTGTCGGCTCCCAGACCGTAGTCGAGGAAATAGGGGGGATGACTCTCTGTCGTCTCCCAGAACAGGAGCAACAAGCTTCACGTTCAATAACCCACTTTAGCTTCAATGACTGGAGAGAGGAGAGCTCTTCTTGGGAGGCCGTTGCATTTATTTAGCTGTTCTTCTGTTTCACAAAATACATCACAGACCTCTGTTTTTCTGCTGCCTCGTTTCACTTCCAGAAACATACACACGCTCCCTCACTGTCACTCTAACACCCACACACACACATGCACAAGCCACCCCTTTCTCTCTCTCTCTTAAAGGGACAGCGATCTCATCTCACTCTGCATGACCCTAATATCATAACATGTGTGTTCTGGAGAATCACAGAACGGACGATCGTCCTTATTATTATGCCGTTTAAACCAATTATTTAAATGTGTTTGTTAAATTCGGCATCATGTAAGTTGCGCTGACAGGTCCACACACTGCTTCCCCGCAGCGAGGCTCCCCCCGCCCTCCTGCTGACAGTTCACAAGCGCCAAGCTACTCACCCCCCCCCGTTGATAATTCACGATCGTCGGCACTCTGATAAAATTGTTTTTTTGTAATGGCATTTCATATAAAAAACGTTGCTGACCCCTGATCTATATCATGTGACTGTGATGTAGTTCCTTAGCATTACGCTAACTTAGTTCGTCAGCCATTTACTTATGAAGCTCAGCGCAAGTTCAACCAGGAATACCGTCTTTACTCATTCATGTATTTCTATCTCCATCTTTCTACTCTCTCTCCTCTCAATAAGTGACCGGGGGCGTCACTCTTCAGCTTAGCCAATCACTTCGCTCTATTCCCAAGAGCCTATCATAGCGTGCCGTCAAAACCTTTAAACTCTGCTCTTTCCCCTCCGACAGCTGTCATTTCAGGTGACTCAACGCAACCCTCCTCCACCCTTTTCACCTCCTGTCCCTCCGAATCCAGGGTCAAGCTAAACCACTCCTCCTCAGACCGACCCAACCATCCATTCTCCACCACCAGTGTCTAGACCCCGGGGGGTTTTCATCGGATCGGTTCTACCCTCCCGAATGATACTTCCTGCACAACGGGGCCTAATCGCCAAAACTACTGTCACATTCTGTGCATTAAATATGTATCATCACATCAAAACCGTCTCTCCTGATTGAACTGGTGATTGCTTTTACGTACGTGGTGTTGATATATGGAGATGATCTTTCTGAAGAAAAAAGTCGATGTGTCTATTTTTTGTCTATCAAAAAAGTGTGTTTGCCACAATATAGTATTCATGTCTTCAAGTGGTTCGGGTGATCCTTTGCGCTGCTAACTTCAGGGTCGGCCTTCAAAGATACGTCATCGCTGCACCACTCTAATGCATTCGTTGTTAAAGGAAAATCATGATGTCAGCTGGAAATAGTAGTGGAGGAGCAAATGAAGAGAGACAGAGGATACACACAGTTACAGCTGGCTGTACTTTTGCTAGTGTGCGCTACTCCTCGAGGGGAACAAAGTAAGCACATTTACTTCATAAAAACAGATGGTTTAGAAGCCTGAGAAAGTTTCTCTAGTTCTACATCAATGTCTCCCTGCCTTCCTCTCTCTTGCTTTCTTACTCTCACAATCAATTCCGTCTTTTCATCACTGTCTCTTTTGGTTCCCCCTCGTTCCCCAAACAGCAGATGATCTGAGACCGTTATTGAAGGGTTTTCCTTCAGAAAGAGGAGAACTAAGTGGTGCTCTGGGATATTTGTTTTCAAAGGCATAGCTTCAACACTTGAGGAGCGGGAGAGAGAAAGTACGGAAGGATCGAGGTAGAGAGGGATGGTGAAAAGTGATATGATCCAAACAAAGAAATGATGCTGAAGTAAGAGCCATTGTAGTTGGAGGTTCTCTTTGGAGAAAAGCGTTTAGCCCCCTGGGATATTTGTTTTCCAAAGCGTACTTCTGAGCTTCAGGGGAAAGACAGAAGGAACAAAGAGGGATGAAGGGAAGTGAGGGGGAGCGAAAGGATAGCCTGATGCATGCTTCAAAGTCAATGCAAAATACTGCAGGGTCCATAAAGTGTTGCACACCCCTTAAAGAAACACACTGAAAGTTGAACCTGTACTTAACAACATTGAGGTTATGTTTGCAATATATCATTTCAAAGTTATATTAACCAAGAAGCAATGAAAAACACCGGCAATTCACTTGCATCCTTTACAATACAAACATACATCAATATATTAGAATTGTAATTTGTGTCATAATGTAACTCTTTTAGGGTCAGGTTGTGTACTGAGAAAAGTTACATATTCAGTATCAAATGGGCACATGCCATTGACTTCAGTTACCAGGAGAAGTTGGGACTCTTTGGAAGTGTTAGAAAACATTGCTATTGTTACTTACCTTTGTCTGGCTTACTGGTGTAACAGTGACCCTTAATGGAACCGAGCGGTCATTTGTAAAAAGTTTGTTCTTAGTTGTTCCACCTGTTCTTGTGTTCTTATGTTTGCAGATAAAAAAAAGTTTAATATGGTTTCTCCCGTCCTGTCTTTTCCAAATGGTGGTATGTTTGACAGACACCCTTATCGCTTTCCTTTTTTTCCGCAGCTAACTACTTGTGTCAAAATAAAAAAAAAGAAGCTACTTTAATAAGAACCAAGATGGCAACACTCCACTGTACAGTACAATTGTTTTGACAGTTGGGATAAAAACAGCAAATCACTTTTTTGCAACTGGGGATGTTTACCTGGGGGAATGGTTGCGTTTATGCACAGTATGCGTTTTCAAAAAAGTCTTCCGTTCACATGTATTCGTTTCATTTGACATGTCTGTTCACACAAGAACGCTGGAAACGCTGGACACGCTGTAGTACATATGCCGGGCCTGTAACTGGCGCTGTAACTTCCGCCACAAAATACAGGTGGGGAGAGGCGGGGCTATCGTTATTTTTTCAGGAAATGATCGTATAGAGGCGATTACACGGAGCCGTTGGACCCCCCCAGAGCGTTTAGTTTGCAAATCTATCCACCTTGGGACCCGTTATCGTTTGTGGGGTCCGTTTCTATCGTTTTGTTACGGCCTCGTGAAAATGAAAGGGCACTATGCGGATCCAACATGTTTTGTTCTCGTGTAAACGGGGTCTTAAATGATAACCCTTGATATGTGGAAATTTTGCGAGATATTTAAGGTTGGGCGTCGACCTACAATAGTAAAGGTCAGGATAGGTTGTCTAACAGCATGTCTGTGGTTGTGTATTGATGCAGCCACATTTTTTACTGCTTGTATCTGATTAACATTATTTATTGATTTATCTGTACAGCCCTGCAATTTCCCATGACATTTTCATGTGCCGCTTGGATTAATTATAACCAGCTCACAAGCTTTATAAACCCCCATCAATCACTGGCTGAGCTGAATCACACCGGCCCTTTTGCATCTCATCTTCTTATCAATGTTGTAACTAGAACACAGTTTGAACAATGGCTTCAATCATTAAACACAATGGCTTTTGCTTTGTGATTTACTGTACGTCCACACGGCAGCATCGTGTGCTTCAACGGAGATGCTTCCCATTCACTTTGAATCACAATGCAGTTAGGCAAAGCCTGACGTCACCCCATTCAGTCTCTTGCCTC